TTTGAACTAATAAAGTGCCAGGGGCCTAAGTGGTCACCTCAATATTAAAAAAAAAAAAAAAAAAAAAAAAAAAAAACAATAGTTTATTTTTTTTCTATGTTAAAACAGGTTTTAACTGGGTAAAACATATAAGAATAAGACGGTTTCAAATCTTAATTAAGTTTTGCATGTATAAACTTTAACCGATATATACTAATACCCATCCAATTTTGTCATATTACCAGATCTGTTATATGCATAATGACCTAATGACCAAAATGACTTCGGTCATTTTTAAATAACCCAGATTATTTAGTTACGAGTCATTTTTAAATGACCGAAATTAGATAACTTAAATGACTAGTCATTTTGAGGTCATTTAAGATCATTTGCAAAATAGACAAATGATCTGGTTATTTACCATCCCTGACCTTGGTAGTACAGTAGTATAGTAATTTTTATAACGTTAATTTTTACTAAATTAGATTTTCTTGATCTTGATTTCAAAATTTTTGTACACATAGAAACCTTTAAGAATAACTTTGCTTGCCTGGATATTTATTAATATATATATATAATGTTTATTATAAATTTTTAAATCATCTATTCTAATTTATATTTACTATCTATAAAATGGCTAAATTATACTATATAAAAAAAAAAAAAATCTAATATTTTTATCAGATTTTAACTCTAATAAATTTTCTTATTTATTCTTAGTTTTGTATACCAGCACCTTGCTCTATCCAACTTTTTAGAAAAAGTGATACGCAGGCAGTCTGAGGATCAAGGCGGTTATGAACTTTTGTGATTGTTTCTGCTGCAGTAGAGAAAGCTTCTTTACAAGAAACACTTGATCCTTGAATCGTGAGATAATCATGCGCCATTTTTGCAAGTGTTGGAAACTTGTATCCCACCATAGAAGAGAATTATTTTTAATGGTCATTGGCATGGATAAATAGTGCTCTAGTTTCTCTATTAAAGGTTGCTCAATTGTTTGTTGTTGTATCAATAACAACTCAAAAAATTTTCTTTTATTTTTAGATACTAATTCAGAGATGGATGTAAATGTAGTTGTTACTGAAACTTGTGATTTATACTGAGTCATTATATTTTGTAAGCTAGTAAGGGCAGCATCTTTTTTATCACTAGTGGGAAAAGTCACAAGCTTAGATGAGGAGTCAAGAATTGTAGCAATTGTAGTTGATTCTTCAAGCATAGACCAATATTTATTTAGCTTAGATTTAATAGAATCTGCCATCATATACTGATCTGAGTATAATTCATTATCTAAAAATTTATTAAGGTGAAGAAGAAGTTCTAAAAAGGTTAAAAAGATATCAGAGATAATTGGATATGCGCTGGATGATAATAATTCTGTCGTGACAAGTATAGGTTCTAACAATTCGATCATGTTATCTATGACCTCCTATTTATCATTATTAAGATAATCTTTCTCTAGTTGTTTTTTATATGCAGTTACAAGTAAGCTCAACTCATTATGCATTCTTTTGAATCTGTAAAGCATATTATACGTGCTGTTCCAACGCGTGCTTACATCAACAATCGGTTTGGTATAACTTTTTTGGTTCATCTCACAAAATTGACGAAGTGCATTACATAAAACAGTTGAGTATTTAATTTTATTTACACAATCCCGAACCTTACTAATTACTGATACTTTAAGTTGCATTCTATAGTTTACAGTTAGATTAAGGACATGTGTTGAACAACGATGATAGCTAAACTTCTGTAAATCCTATTCTTGCTCGATTATGCTTCCACATAGTACCATCGCCGCATGATTATCAGTCATAAGTGCGATTACTTTATCGCTAATATTCATAGCATCACAAAGCTTATAGGGTTTTTTTTAGTAGATATAGCCATATGGCTATGCTCAAAATGAATAAAGTTCAGTAATAATCGATGCATTTGCCACTTATTATCAATATAATGAATGGTTATACTTAGGTAGGCTTGATTTGAAACAGATATCCAAATGTCCGCAGTGAAAGCAACTTTGGCAGTGAGGCTTCTAAGTTCTCTAGCAACAAGGTCATACTGAGTTTTAAATTGATTCATTATTTCTTTTTTTATATACTGATATGACAGAAGCTTATATCTTGTTGGAACCAAGGATTCTTAATGATCGTGAATGGGAGCTGACAGCAAACTACAAAATTCAAAATAGTATCAAAACACTCTTTTTTGCATTGAGTATCTCCTCTACTATAGGGTCTTTGGATTAAACTATTTTTCTTCAAGGTAAGTTTTATACCATGCTTTTTGCTGAGATAGTTATTTAAAATTCTGGTGGTTGTTGTTGGGCTAAATTTTTGTCTACATTTTCTACATAATCTTGCAATGACTTTATCACTTTCTTTTTGCTCACTCATAAAATTCCACACTAGTGATGTCTTATTCTTACTCTAATTAATATTAAAACTATCTGATGAGACTTCTTGTAGTAGCAACATGGCAGTAACTATACTTTCTTCATTTTCTACATTATTAGGTGAATCAACTTCATCCTTTTCAAAAACGAAATCGTCATCATTAAAGTCAAATTCATCTTTAGAAGTGGAATCAGACATGTTAGAGTTAGATCAAAATAAGTTTATTTGTTTAAGTTTTTTGATTTTTTTTTTTTCACTTAATGATTGAATAGTCCTTTTTATAACTTTTAAAAGATTAAAATACTACTGTACTATATTACCAAATTACATGACGGTATTTGAAGTAGCACTTCTGTCTCTGATTAGGAGAAATTTTATCTGTTCGTTTTGTTAACCATCAATCATACAATTAACAGGTTTGCAGACAAATATCTTTAATAAGGTAATATCATTAATTTATTTTATTAATTATTAACTATTATATATTAATTGTTAAACAGTGGCTAAAAGCTAAAAATGAGGATGTATCAGCTTGACCCGGCTTGCATATTTAAACTATTATGAAATCTGATTGATGAATAAAGCTGAATATGCTGATAACATCTCTAAATTATTGTTCTGTTTAATTAATATGCATCAAGCAGATATTTAACTGCCATCTGCATTGTTTATATATATTATGAATATTTTTTGTCTAAGATCTATATTAAATATAGATTATAAAAAAAACCTTTTTGTTGTATTTTTATATGTTACGATGTAATTATGTTATTCTAGTATTGGTGATACCTGACGAATAACGAATCATTCGCTATCAACGTTTGACAAAACCATTCGCCAAGCAATTTCTGCTGAAAGCCTTGAGTAAAAATTTTGTAATTGTAGCAAGGCACAAGACAAAAATTAATTTATACTTATTAATTAATCAGTTAATTACCTTATATTATATCTAAAATCAATCTATTCTTCAAATAAAAATTTAATTTATTAAATAGCAAACAATTAATAAAGCAGATCCTACATATGTATCCTGAGTAATCTTTCATTCTATGCACCTCTAGCATGTCAAACTGTACAGAGCAGGAATTAATATCGATATACATAACACTAATAAGCAATTAATTAATTTCACTTTTAGTTAAAAGGCCTTTTTGTTGTAACAGTGTTGTGCAACGGTTTGTCTATTGGTAATTGTCATATTCTTTTATTGTCTTATTTATTACATGACACGATAAATAAGTAAGAGACAATTATTAATAATAAACCATTGTACAACACTGAGCATAGAAATTCTGCAAGCAGAATAGTAAATTATTGGCAGATATAGTTATTGTGATAAATTTTAATTTATAATTCGCTTTTAAATTATCACAAAGGAAAAATGCATATAAAACAAAACCTTGCAAAGCAAGTTAGTTGCATTAGATTCACATACTATATACTGTATACATACTGTATAAATAAACTATAAAATATAAATATACAAAATGATCAATCATTTGAACATTAATACATATTTACATACAATGTCAAAATTGGCCTTTACCAAATTTGCAAATTCAATATTTGCTGGCCATCCATTAGGCCCTCTTTGACAAGGCTTAAGCGTTCTCATATAGAAGTTCAAAATTATTTAATTTCTGAATAATTAAAAATTTACATCCGATCTATTGAGTAAGGTGCCCTAAGCTAATTCTAAGAAAGCTAATCTTGAAATATTGTATCGAATAATTAACTTGATTATATGAAAGATAATATAAAGAACAATTTGAAGAAAGTGTAATGCAAATAATTGAAAACATTAATAATTGTCATGTAGTTTTGGAACAACCCCTGTACTTGGTTCAGGGCATGTTGGTGAAAGATGAAAGTGTATATATAATTAAAGAGATAGAGAGTCGAGTTAGTAAAGTGAAGGGTTATGATAAAGGTTGTGTAAATGATTCACATGATACATGTGATTGCATTGGAAATGAGTCCTCATGATTGTTGTCAGATATAATTAATACAGATTAATTATCAATATTAGAGTTAAATGTATAGTGTGATAAATGAATAAAAGAAGTATATAGAGTCAAAGAAAGTAAATAAAGAAAAGTTAGTCTTTTACTCTTAGAGAAAATCATCATACTAAAATTATATTCATACCAACTACAAATATTAGGTTTGGTAATATCTTTTGTTACAGCGAAGGGTACTATATCAAGTTAGATTTATTGTAGCATATTGCAACTGCTTAACCTCGTGACAATAACTTTAATACTAATGATCAAATTATAATGAAGCCGTAATTAAAAAAAACTTAGAAAACTAATTATATTTAAAAAACTTGATATTCATTAAAATTAATTAATTTTATACAATAAATTGTAATTTATTTGATTTTTTTTAAAAAATAAATATTAAACTTGGAAGTTTTTTTTTTATTTTGGTGTATTAATTTTACAATAATTTACAATCACAATCATTTAATTATAAAAAAATTAATTATAAAAATTACAAAATTATACAAACTGCAATAATAAAATTTATACTAATCCAAAGCAATAGTTATTTATTAATTTATAATTTAGAATTTTAAATTTTGATTTAATGTATTGTATTTTTATTAAAAATATAAAATATTTATTTTTTAGGAGTTTTATTTTTTAAACATTATAGTTAGCTTCAAGCCATGGTTTAAAACCATGGTTTAAACCATAGTTATTAAGCCATAGTTTGAACCATAAGCCATGGCTTTTTGAGCCAAGCTTAGCCAAGCCAGCCATTAATATCCTTACCCTCCTTTATAATCACATGTTTTGTATATTTAATAAATTTTTTAAAAAATGTGCTTATATAGAGGTAGTTTTTTATATGTTTACTAGTAATTTGTTTTTGAGTATAAAATGTGATAAAGAGGGGTTTTTATATAATGTGATTATAGAGAGGGTGACTATAGAGAGTGATGACTATATATCATTTGATCTCTACGGGCATGTACCAAATCATGTAATTGGGCACGTACAGTAATATCACGTGACATAGACGTACGTAAGTTGTCAAAATAAACTTTTTTAAAATTTGAATCGAAGTTTTTCAACAAATACTTGATAGAATTCGATGAAAATTTTTTTAAATCAATTCTACAAATTACTACAATTTATTTAAAAAAATTTTCATCGAATTTTATCAAGTAGTTGTCGAGAAAATTTGAAAAAAAATTACACTAAAAAAAATAACTGTGCAAAAAATTTCTAAGCTTCAAATGAAAATTTTTTAACGACTATCTGATAGAATTCGATGAAACTTTTTTAAATAACTTCTACGAGTTTATAAGATTCAGTTAAAAAATTTCTATCGAATTTTAACAGGTGTTTGTTGAGATAATTTCATTCAAATTTTGAAAAAGTTTTACTGCCTTTATGCCAAACTTTGAACTAGAATTTTTCGGCAACTACTTGATAGAATTCAATGAAAATTTTTTAAATAAATTCTGTTAAATATTAGAATTTATTAAAAAAAAATTTTTATCAAAATCTATCAAGTAGTTGTTGAGAAATTTGGTTCAAAGTTTAGGAAACTTCTGTTATGATTATTTTTTTAAGGGGCGGTAAAACTTTTTTCAAATTTTAAATGAAAATTTCTCAACAACTACCTGATAGAATTCAATGGAAATTTTTTAAATAGCATTTACGAGTCAATAGAATTCATTTTTAAAAAAATTCATCAAATTTCAACAAGTGTTTGTCAAGAAAATTGTATTCAAAGTTTAGAAGTTTTTGCGAAACTATTTTTTTTTAGAAGGCGATGTAAATTTTTCAAACTTTGAATCAAAGTTACTCAACAACTACTTGATAGAATTTGATGAAAATTTTTTTAAATAAATTCTAGTAATTTGTAGAATTGATTTAAAAAAATTTTTATCTAATTCTATTAAGTAGTTTCGAGAAACTTCGATTCTAAGTTTGAAAAATTCTATTTTGACAACTTACGTATGTCTATGTCACGTGATATTACCGTATGTGCCCAATCACGTGATTTGGTACGTGCCCGTCAGGGACAGTGAAAAATATCGATTTGATTTGGCAAAAATATCGATTTATATCGATTTACCAAGATTGGCCAATCAAAATTCACGATTTGGTGTAACAAAATGTAACGTTATCAATAATGTAACTTTCCGGCAAACAGTTTGTTGATTGTCTACTTTTCTGAAACTTACTGACAGTTCAGGTTAGCCAAATTTGTGTTGCCCGGCCCAAATTATACACTTAATTTTGCCCAAAGTGGTATTGTTACGCCGCATTAAAAATTGTAAAAATATCGATTAAAATGTCATGTGATTTGTTTACTTTAAAGGGAACGCGTTATTTATCGAATATCAAATAACTATAAATACAGATCTCAAAACAATTTTTAACTTCTATTATTTGATACCTAATGGAAAACGAATATAAAGTTCTTGTAGAACCTGTTAATCCGCCTTTACAAACACACAAGTCACAACTTCCAAAGATTAAAGAAGTATCAGAAAAAACCGTTGATAAAAGAAATATGCTGTTCTTTCGATTTCGATTAGGCATTACTCATGTGCCTTTATTTGGATTTTTCGCGTCAATGATTTTTTTCCTAAAGAATTCTCATCAAAACCAACGTCAAAGAAAGTTCATCAAATTATTCCTTGTGACTTTGACAATATTTGGACTGTATCATTTCGGCCATAATAATTTTACCACTGATATCATTCCAGCTTCAAATATTGTTTTTATCAATGACATTAATAACATTACTCAAAGTAATGTAATTACTCGAAATGTTAGTATGAGAACCACGTTACAAGAGACTGGTATCGGTATGACAAAAATTGTCGAGAATCGCGTAAATGCAACAACAAATAATAATCACGCAATGTCTTTAGACAACACTCCAAATTCAGTATCAATTGTTGTAGTTGATGATACAGTTAATTTCAATGACGGGTTGAATAGATTCAAGGAAGAATTGGATAGTGTTATCTCTTTTTTTACGGGTCTAAATTCTCAAACAAGTGAATCTGAAGATTTTAATGTGAATGTTAAAGAAGATAATGTAGAAGGTGATGGAGTTAGACGATTAGCATGTATGTCCAATACGAGAGTTAAAACCAGAAGGGTGAATGTGAATGATTTTAAGGCCATGCGACTTGATAAATCTTAAAACCTGATTTACTAATTGTTCCATTATCTTTATGAGATTTGAAAATCTGTATATTAGAATAGATGATATATAGAGTCTTTATGTGAAGTATGCGCATATTTCAAGAAAAAATAAATCTTTATTTTATTTTTGCGTAATAAAATTATAATATGATTTGACTATTTGTAAATTGTTATCGTATTTCAGTATTTAAAGAAATTAAAATGGTCGTATTATAATTGAGCAAAAAAACTATGGACACATTCTTTACGAGATTATTTTTGGTATTAATAATACAAGATACAGTACATGATTCGTTAATTACTTAAAATATAGAGTTATTAGATGCAAAAACATCCAATAACGGTATTATTCAGTATCCTAAGACGATAGGACTTGTAAAATGATTCGACTTTTATCGTTATTTGCCAGCTGTATTTGATTTTAAAAAAATTATAATTTGTATAACTGCATCTTGACTGGTCTTATAGTTTGGGTTATTAAATTCGTTGATATAGCGAATTTACTCGTGATACAGTGAATTTTTTATTAAGCCCGATTACTTCACTAAAACTAGAGTAACAAGAACTTAAAAAAATAGATAATTATATAAAGATCACCATTATTAAATACCATATATTAAATAATTGATTAATAAAAATGAATAATGCAATGATAAAATGCTACGGACTTATTTTAATTTCATCAATTAATAATGATTTTTGTATTCATTGGCCAAATTAAACTAATAGGGATGGTGATGATGAATACCATAAACTTGAATAAAATTATTGATTTATAATACTTAGATTAGTAAGTTCTTTAGATTCTTTACAAATTTATATAAATAAAGATTGAAATTAAATAAGTTCTTAGTAATGTCGTGAATTTAAATAAATATATTTTAAATACATCGACTGATAAAAGATTTTATACTTTCTGGTTATTATAATAAAATTGAATATTGATTATCATTATGAAATTGAATAGATAGTTTAAACACATTAATCACTGAAATATTTTACACTTATCAGTTAAAAATTAGCATAACACTAATAAAAATGAAATTGAATTTCATGATACTGTAATCGTTATAAATTTGAGTAGACTATTTTTAATACATCGATCAGCAAAAGACCTTCACATTCCACACTCACAGTAACAAAATGTCATGAATTTAAATATGATAGTTTATTTAAGTATATCGGGATGTAAAATATCTAATTAATGTAAACAAAAACCGAAATTAAAAAAAAAAAGTGGTGAATTATAAAAATTTGAATTAGATTATCCGCATTGAATAATAAAAGACCTATGCTTACAGCTTAATTAACGTGGCTGAAATGGGATTAAATGAGTTAGTGGAATATAAATATGATGATATAAACATGAGTAGACCTTCATACTCATCACTAAAGCGAATAACCAAGTCTTTCGATTAATACCGATGTATGCAGGTAGGGCCCCTGAATACGGAGATATCACATTAATCGAACCCCGTTGTACGGATTGAATTTTTAGTACTATTGAGCTTAAGTGTAACCTTGTACGGATCCAGGTTTTTGTACTAATAAACATATGTGATATCTTCCTATTATCACCGCGGAGGTTCCAATGAGTGTATTCAGGGGCCTTATGCAGGTCTGAGTTATACGGAACCGGACTCGAAACTCCGGTTCAAGTACTTAAATTTAGATCATAGATGATCTTCCACGCGTAATTTTGGGATTTTCATTTTTCTTTGCTACGTATTGTCAAAAACCATAACCCACAAAATTTTTTTTTTCCACAAAAGAAGCTTTTCCAAGAAGAGTCAAAGGTAAGAATTTTACATGAAGAAACTACTTTAGTTGACCCTGCCTGGGAGGCCTTATCCTGGCAAACTTAGTTTATTGATTCTGGAAGAGGAATCAATTATTTTGTTAGATTAGTGTGACACTTGCTTGTCTTTCTCTCGGTAACTGGAGACGTGAGCCACCTTGGTCTCTATCCGTATTTTACTTCATTGTATTAATTCTTACGTTTTTTTTTTATTAAGAATAATTTAAGATTTACACGCGAACCAGGAGTAGATCTGTTGCTGTGATGTATTCGTTATGGTAAATTATGACGTTTCTTATATGTTTGTATCCATCGTTTCTGTTGTGAAGTATGTAATCAATCTTATTAAAAATGGTCTTTCTTGAAAAGACAGTTGGATTTCATTAGGCCTAAAAGGTTTTATTCGAAGAAGGAATTATCGAATAACAAAAAAAGATGTATATGTAGAGTTTTTTCTCTATTAGTTTTTTATGAATAATAAAGTTCCTTTATGGTTATCATTATCTTTTGTATATGTGAATAAAATCTATGTAAGATGAATAAAATCTATGTAAGATGAATAAAAAATTCTAAATCAAAGTTAAATAAAATATATTGAAAAATTTTAGTTCATTAAAAAATTTCATTGATCCCTCTTTAAATTCCAGTTTATTATGTTTCAGAAAAAAATAGCAGATTATTCATCATGGAATTTTAAAAAACATGATAATTTTGAACTTAATTTGAATTATAGTAGATCACAATTATTACAGGCAAAACTTTTTACTGCGTTAAATAAAAATTGAGTGTCTGAATTATTTTGCCCTGACTTGATCTAAATAGAGAAATTATATCTGAAAATTTTAAATCATAAATAATTTTAATAGTATGTTGAAAAAAAAATTAAGTTATCAAAGGTCGAAAATATTTAAGGTGTCGAGCTAACATTATTTTTTACTGAAAACTTTCTCGATGTTCTAATCTATTACTTCATTTTCATAATTTACATCTTATAACGCTATTATAGATATCTTTTTGCTTCAATTAGTTTGCGACTATAATGAACAATAATTCACAAATTACACCCACACGTACTTTAATAAAAAACTTGAAACTTTATTTTTTTAAACATATTTTATTAATAGCAAATTTTTATTTATTAATTTATTAGATACTTTTCTGAGCTTAATTCGTGAGTCACGAGTTGAGACGAGTCCAGTCTCTAACGGAAACCCTTAACGATACTTATCGCACAAAGTTTGAAAAAAAATAGGATAATTAAAGGACATCGATGAACATGATGGCTCGAGTAGAATCTCATTTTACATAGGCAATTTTTTTCGCGATCTAATATAATGTAATATTCACAATATTAAGACCGGTTTTTATCTTTTTAATACAGTAATAAGAACATTCCTCATTATGAAAGCAAAATAACAATATTCAAATATTAATTTTTAACCAAAATATCTTGTGGTGATGGTGATAAAATTATGAAGTTTTCAATCTTCATCAGTTACTGGGACACCATCTCTTAATATTTGACCATCTAAAACAAGGGCCACTAAATATGATAAATAAATATATATATCGATATGCAATTACAATGATATATTAAACCTTTATCACAAAATATATACATTTCGGTCGTAAAAGTTTCGAAAATTATAAGGCCAGCCACGCAAAGTCGATTTTTCGTTTTGCATAATCTGCCGGCCCATTTTTTTCAATGGTTTTTTTTTAAAATCCCAATTATGCCAATTATTCTATTTTTACTACAGTCAGATGCACCCTCTATAAGTGCATACCCTCTCTAAATACACGCTCAAGTGCTGGCCCAAATACATGCTTGACCTCTATAAATGCACTTTTTCTTATTATTCTTCAAATGCACGTTATTAAAGTGTGGTACCAAGAGAGCGTGCACTTAGAGAGGTCTGACTGTATTATTTTTTCCCATAAATCACCTGATGACCCAATTTTCTGATTTAATGCGAACCGAAAATTAGATTTAAAAAAAAATTTTGGGACACCAGGTTATGCAACTTTGTGTGGCCTAAACTCATTTGAACACATTGGAGAGCAATTTATATCTTTAAATCCTTATTATTGAAACAATATTATCAGTATAAACATTTTCACTATTTAGAATTTATTAATTAAAAATTGTACCCAGGAAGAACAATTCAAACGGAGAGAGTGCTTGAAGTGTTATTAGGTCACGCAAAGTTGATTTTTCGTTTTGCATAACCCACTAGCCCTTTTTTTTTTTTTTAAAAAAAAAACACCAATTGTGCCAATTATTCTATTTTTTTTTCATACCGATAAATTTATCCGATATCAGCTGATGACCCAATTTTCTATTCCGAACCGAAAAATTAACTTTCATGGTCTTGATGTGAACATAGACTATTAATTTACAGTATACAGTAGATTTGTGGATAAATTTGTCAAAGAATTTTAATTTTATTTAATTTATTTAAAAAAATAATTTGAACAGTTTTGGTTAATTTTAATTCCACTTAGTAAGCGGAAGAATTCTCTAATTAACCGAATTCTGTTGTAACTTATACTATCAAATTAAACGTGGAATTCTATATTTATTCCAATATCCAAAATTTTATTGCCAACATGTTTATTAATAATGTTTGTTCCTACAGTTCTATATATTCAGGATTCATATGATCAAAAAACTCGAGTTTACAGATTTACTAATTTTCCCCACCACTTCACTATAAAATTGATAACATTATGTGAATAATTAGTAGAACCAATCAGAAGTGGTGGAGAAATTAGTAATTTCATGCTGCACACCCTAATGATTTGTGTTACCTTGCCATAAATATAAAGCACAGTTTTTTTAACGTTAAATGTATAAAAAATGAGTTCTTCTAAAGATCAAGAACAAGCCGTAAAACAAAGTAAAGAAGCCTTCGCCTATAAATTCTGGCAAGAATTTCAGGAGGAACGGGGAGGTAGGAACATTTATAAGAAAACTTTATACGTGAGATCGTATTTTCTTGTTTTCTTCGCATTAATGCTATGTTTCATAAATTTCTGATTTCAAATCGATAAAGCAATACAAGAGTCTATAAATGAATTATCACAAAAACAAAGATCATCAATTCCTTTATTGTGCGAAGGATTATTACAGCGTATAAGTGAGCTTGAAAAAAAAACTACAGATGCTTCAAGATTTTTACCTCCTTATGACCAAAGACAGTCGATTCTGGTAAATCAAGTTCTTACAATAGCCTTTCAATGATAGACATTTACATTTTTTTGAATAAAATTTATAGCAAGTCAGAGCGTTAATTGAAGATCTTAACACAAAAAAAGCAGAATTGACTCCAAAGAGCAAATTTTCGTTTAAATCAAGAAAAGCGACAGGATCAACAGAAAAAAGCATGACAGCCGAATCGAACAAAATCATAAACAATAATTTGGAAGTTATTACTCCAAATAACGAAATTGTTCCTATTACTACTTCACTTAATCAAAACTTTCAAACGGTGACTCTAAATAATAGACAAAATTGCTATATTAGTGTGAATTCATATTTAACAAATTTGGAAGAACCTGGCGAAAAAGTAATGGATTTTCAAATTTCGAATTTAGATCATTGTATTGTGAACCTTGTAAGTTCTAATGTAACTATAGGTGCGATACATATTAAAAGATTGAAGGATACTATTATAATGGCAAGTCCAGTTAGAAGTTCGATTTTGATCTATGACTGCGAGAGATGTGTGTTCTTGATTGGATGCCATCAAGTAAGATTAAATATATATATGATTTTTCTTAAATTTCGATTAAATATTTACAAGAGTTGATTGTCTATATAGTTCCGGATGCATACATCTAGGCAAATGACTATTTATCTTCACACAACAAGTCATCCTATAATCGAAGATTGTAATAATATTTTATTTGCACCTTACACACTATCGATTCCTAGCTTGGGCAATATGTTTGAGGTTAAATAAATATTTTGATAAAGCACTTGTTCACAATACCTGATATTAGTAACTTTATTTTTAACACATGTATATACTCTTTTTATAGGCGGCTAAGTTAGATCCAATAAATAACAAATATGATAAGGTTGAAGATTTTAACTGGTTAAAACAACAGGCATCTCCTAACTGGCAAACTATTTCAGAAAACAAAATTCTTAGAGATTGGCCATTTCTTCATATGGATGATCAAAATGATGATCCAAATGATGAAGAAACTGTTTTAAATGTGTTGAATGGGATTTTGGGGTCTCAATTAACTTCTTGATTATTTCATTACATTATTCAGTCTCGAGATCAGCCTTTATAAAATTTATTGCATTCTCAATATTAGATTTATTTATTTTATTCTGATTTCAGATTGATAAATAAATACTGATTAAGTGGAGCTTTCCTGCATTCTCTCTATAAATACACATCAACCTATATGTATATCATAGCCTAATTCCAAGCTCGGCATTTTTATCTCTGTTTTAGTCTGTAAGTATATATGGATGTTTAAATATGGATGATTTATGGCAGGTGCATGGTGATGTGTTTCAATATTTTTACCAAGGTATTCCAATGTTTTAAAATCAAATCCGAATGGTAATCCTCATCCGAGAAAATTACGGATGATACGAATTTTTATGGATCCAACCTTAATTTAGGATCAATCTATATATTATATTGTAGCAAGATTTAACTGTCAACAAATGTCAATAAAAAAACTAGACTGAAATCAGTATTGGTCCAATGCATAAAATTTTTAACTTAATTGATTTACTGCATAGTTGTAAATTTTTAATTCTAAATTTTTTAATTTTCGAAGATTTCACTTGACAGAATATACAATTGCTTTATTATTTCTACCTCATATTTATTGATTAATATAAATAATGAAAAAAGCATTCTTTAAGTAATTATCAAAGAATCGAGGCTATAAATAAATTTGTATCTCATGATAGCATGAAGTCAGGGACAGTAAATACTTCCACTAGAAGTTTTTATCACAAAAACATCAATTATTCCATTTTATTCCGATTAGGGATGTTACAGCTGTTTTCATTATTCCCGGGACACCTGTAAAAAATTAGCCGAATGATTTTTCGGCCGATCCGGTTAAGTTATTTTTTCGGCATAATAAATTCAATATAATACTGTAATACTGTATACGTAATTTAAAATCAAGTGGCTAATATAAATATAAAATTATGCAAATCTCTTGTTGAATTCAAAAAATATGATACTTTCAAACCACATTCGCTGGCAAATTATTGAAAAAAATTTAGAAGTCGAAAAATTGCAAAACACTTAGGTGTTAGCACGTCTTCGATAAGTCGGGTTCTTGTGCTTTTTCAAAGATATGGTTTTATTGAAAAACTTCCATCGCTTCAGGAAAACCACGTTCTTTAAACATGAATGATATAAATTATCTTAAAGGTTTACTGGTACTTGCATGAATTACAATCCGAGATGGAACTTTGGTTGGGACGTAACATTAGCCTTACAACAATTTGGAGGGCTATACACCGACTTGGATATACGCTCAAAAAGGTAATATATACATATTTTTATTTTATAAACTTTTAGCAATTTTATAAAAGGCTCTTTCGTATTAATAGCTCCTGATTCAGGCT